GTTAGGGCTTGGCTACTAGTCTAGTAATCGTGAGATTGCGAGTTTGGGGGTTCGAGCCTCAGCTCTGTTCGACGTTGTGTTCTTGGGAAAGGTATTTTTCACGAATTTCCCTATCGTACTGTAACGTACAACCTTTTTAAAATTTGCCGCCACGCAGGATTACACTTGGGGTGCAAAGTTTTAGAAATGATTATCGCAGCTAAAAAAACTGATTTCGTTTTCGGAATCAGCGTATCTAAAAGAGCTAGTAGAGCATAGGGAACCTGATTTGATGCCATATTTTGTAGGCCTGAACGTTAGCAGGTTTATTTTTTTTTTAAATTGATTGTCATTGTTGAAGTTGTGTATCAAGTTCACCCGGTGAGTTGCAATTCTGCAGTCAAGTGAAAACTTCTACACATAGCACGGTGCAGTATACTACCCTTTTCTAAAGACGATGTTCTGTTATTTATTAACCCCATCCTTACGCCCCGGGGTCATTTGTACCCCGGGATTTGTATTCTTCTCATTTTAGAATAATTCTTGTGCGAAGATCTCTTGGAAATTTTCGGTGTTTCTCAAAAAATTATTTTGACACGCTGCTATGCAAAGCGTGCGGATCGGATTAACAAATAAATTTCCTCTTTGAAAAGTGGTGACACAGAGTTCCCCACGTCATATGAATACGATTGTAAAACAAGACGTACGGATAGGGTTAAGTGGTGGCACAGAGTTCCCCACGTCGTGTGGATACGATAGTAAAACACGACGTACAGATTGGGTTAAAATGTACTGGTCCAACCAACGTAGGTGGAAAATTAAATACAAAGACGACAGTAATAAATTATACGAGGTTGGGCATACGATAAAGTCGTGTTATTGTCATTGTTATTGGGATTTTTTGGGTTATTATTAGTGTTGTTGATGATGTTGTTGATGTTTTTGTATTTGGAGTTGTTGCTATTGTTGTTGTATTTGTTGTTGTTGTCGTTGTTGTTGCCGTTGTTGTTGTCGTAGCTAATAGCCTTTGAGTTTGAGAGTATAACTTTGGGTGTCAACAGAAATGTTGTTACTTGAACATAAAAGTAACAGAATATTTCCTCACGCCAAAATCTCTGCAGGCCTCCTCTGCCTCGATACAGCTCTTCCCTCTACCCTGCTGTAATCCAGACTGCACTCCTCCCCACTTACTCACTCACTCTCTGCTTTATACACTTGCGCCAAACAATACAACGGAACTGAGACTGAACTCATCTCCCACTTACTCACTCACTCTCTGCTTTATACACTTGCGCCAAACAATACAACGGAACTGAGACTGAACTCATCTCCCACTTACTCACTCACCCTCTCTGCTTTACATTTACACACTTGCGCCAAACAATACAATACGCTAGGCCTAACTCCCTGTCATTGGCCAACACGCCAGATTGCCCAATAAACAGCCAAATAGACCACTAGAAATATGAACACAAAGTGTTCCATTCTTCCGTCTCGACTATGAAAAAAAGGGTAAAGCAGCCTATGCACTCACAAACTTTTGGTCAAACCTTTTGACGTCAAAAGTATTGACAGTTTGACGTTCTTCCTACACGCTCAATATTTATTGCCCAATGTTCAGTTTGTTTTAGTTTTAGTAGAGGTTTTACGGCGCTCACAACTGCATAAGGTCATATGAGCGCCAAGGGGCGGATGTCAACAGAGAAGTCCTTACAGGGAATCAGACTTACTCTGCTCACTTCTCTAGCTTCAACAGCACAAAGTCTGCTTCGACTATCAAGGCACCCCGGAAATAGCGGGTCACAAGAGTGTGACAAACATACAAAAGAAGTAGAGGAAAATGACAATAGTAAAGATTAGGAAAGAACAATCAGCAATTCCCTGATGTAGATCAGGCACAGTTATGAGCATGACATTGTTGGATCAGCCAATTTACAATTCTACTGTGCATTAGAACGAGAAATGCTGTATTTCCGTCACACCCCTGCTCTTCTGGTAGGAAAGATCTACACCTAGCCTTTTCGGACAAGGGTGAAAAATCTCGGAGCGCACGTTAAAGATCCTTTGGTGGTCTAAAATCGATAAGAGTAGGCTTCGGCCACCACCCGGGCAAAATTCCAAATTTCCTACCAACTGAAAATAGTAGGTGTGTCCCGCGCGCTCATATGACCTTATGCAGTTGCGAGCGCCGTAAAATACTTTTAAAAAACAACAACAAACAAACAAACAAAAACCCCTTGTCCCCTTTTTCTTTCTTTGGAGGACAAAATCGAACACGAAGCCTTTGGTATTGATTCCATTTTTAATTTTAATTTTGCAAACCGGAAAAAACAAAGTAACAACCCATCAACATTGAAGCTAAAGCAACAGTGAACGTAATAAAATATACTATTGTTGATTCTCTCTCTCTCTCTCTCTCTCTCTCTCTCTCTCTCTCTCTCTCTCTCTCTCTCTCTCTCTCTCTCTCTCTCTCTCTCTCTCCCCCCCCTCTCTCCTTCTCTCTCTCTTTTATATTCTCGTTTACACTCACTGACCAACTCAAAGTTTTACTCACCGCTTCACAACTTAGTCACATAACTATTATTTCTACATATCAGTTTCAAATCTTCTCCCTCTCTTCAACTTTGGTCATTTTTCTTTTAAAAACCAAAGAAACGCTAAACTCACAAAGCAACACACGGAAACGGTACATTTTTCTATAATAAATTATGTAATGCAACACCACTCAACAGAACATAGATAATTTATTATGTCCTTCTAACAGCATTATAATTATTGCCTTATTCACGATGGCAGCTGCTTAAAAAGAAAAGCATTATTGCTTTGAGTCAAGCTCGTGTGAAGAATCTGTCCTATCGTAGTTGTCGTTGTTATAATTGTTGTTGTTATTGCTTTTATTACTTTTGACACTGTTCTTGGCTCTGCTGTTATTTTCTGTTGAAATACACAGTGCAGGAGTGCAGGTATTGCCCAAGGCGCAACAACCGCTCTTTAGACTATCTAGGAAGCCGGGAATAATACCCTGGCAAAGACGAGAAACCATCTATTTTAAACCCCGAATGGTTTTTGAGCATCGACTGGTTCGTTTCAGACCAAGCCCGAGGTCGACTGCGCTACAACTGCGGTCAGCACATTGCAACTGTTGCCCTAAGAAGTGGAGCTAAGTCTGCGTGTCAAGTGACAGTTATGAAAATAGGACATGGCCCAGACCGCTAGAACAATCAACACAGTGAACACAGCTGTACCCGGGCATTGGGCTGTGGCGGTGTTAACATTGCTGAGGAGATTCCGAGATAATCTGAGAATTGGAAAAGACAAATCTATAGATCAAGTAACAGTTTAAGAGCCCCCCTCCCCCCCCCCCAAAGCCGTACATAATAATATGGCTTTCAAATTGAAAAGTTCTAAAGAGGCAAATGTAACAAATCTAAATCTCCTTTAGGCTCTCTGACATGGTTTGGTTCGGTGTAGCTGTCCAGTCTTTTAACAAAGTATATCTAGTCGATATTGGCCTTGGGTCATGGCGTAGAGTCACTTCAAAATTCGCAAACGAAAGGGTCATCAAAAGGTTCAGGGCAACGTCCATCTCCGATGACAGGGACCAAGCTGCGCCCTAGTCCATGTTGAGAATGAGACAGAACGCCCCCATCCGCTTTGAGTATGAGATAAAGACCCTGCTGGACCCAATGGGAGATAATGTGCGGATGACAGGGACCAAGCTGCGCCTAGTCTGTGTTGAGTACAATGTATGAGGCGGCCTAGTCTGTGTTGAGTACAATGTATGAGGCGGCCTAGTCTGTGTTGAGTACAATGTATGAGGCGGCTTAGTCTGTGTTGAGTACAATGTATGAGGCGCCCTAGTCTGTGTTGAGTACAATGTATGAGGCGCCCTAGTCTGTGTTGAGAATGAGACAAAGCCCCTGTAGCACCCAGCGAGAGCCTAGTCTGTGTTGAGAATGAGACAGAGCCCCTGCAGCACCCAGTGAGAGATGTGCTCCTTGGTGGCCAGGTCCGCCTCAAACACCAGGCCCACGCCCATGGCGTTACGCCGCTGTGACGTCACATACACCGGCGCGCGGAACGTGTTCTGGGGGATGAAAGGGGGGGACGATGGGAGTCAACATAGGTTTGATTTTGGTTTGTTTGTGTTTTGTTTTGTTTTGTTTTGTTTTGTTGAGGAAAGTTTTAGTTTTGGTAAAAGACGTACGGCACTTGCAACACAATAAGGTCATATAGATGTAGAAAATTAGAGGTGTTACAAACGAGTTACAAAACGGGTTTTAAGGCGCTTGCAACTGCAGAAGGTCATATGAGCACTAAGGGGTGGATGTCAACAGAGAAGTCCTTACAAGGAATCAGACTTACTCTGCTCACCTCTCTAGCCTCAACAGTACAAAGTCTGCTTCGACTGTCAAGGCACCCCGGAGATAGCAGTTCACAAGGTAGTGACAAACGTACAAAAGAAGTAGAGGAAAAAATGACGATAGTAAGGATTAGGAAAGAAAAAGCAGCAGTTTCCTATTGCTTTTCAGGCACAGTTGTGAGCATAATATTGATGAATCAGCGCATTTACAATTACGATTCTACGGTGCATAACAACATGGTTAATGCCCTCTCTCCCCTTTGGGAATAGCCTACAGACACTTCAGTCAGTAGCACCGCCCCGGGGGGTGGGGTGGGGGGTGGGGGGGAGGTAAAACAAGACTTTGAAGACGCAAGCCCTGGTTTGAATCCCCAACAAGGCGTTCTAGATCTCGAGTTGTTCTCTGGAGTGTTTCAAGGTCTTTTACCTACTTGTTTCTGTCTTTCTGGAGCTGGGCGTTACTTTCGGAGGCATTTCCTCTTGAATAATCGGTGTTGAAAAGGGCGTTAAACCCTTATACGGGGGCTCTCCTGGCCTAGAGGTTAGGGTTTTCGCCCCTCATTCAATGGGTCCCGGGTTCGAATCCGTATAGCCATAGAAAATTTTCTACTCTAAAAATGTTCTCCTTTCTCTTCCTTTCCTGCTCTCTAACAATGTTCTGTCGTCTGCTTTCGTCTCCACTTTCTGCCCTCACCCCCTCACCTCCTTTGCCCCCTCTCTGGGCTCCTGACTCTTTCTGTCACTCCTTCTTAGTACTGTCTTTCAGCCACCCGCTTGATTTTATGGCTAGTAAAATTTACACCAAGCCTTCTCGGACAAGGACGAAAAATCTCGGAGGTCCTGTGTGCAGGTTGCGCACGTTAAAGGTTCCTTGATGGCCCAAAATCGATAACAGTAGGCTTCGGCGTCACCTGGGTGAAATTCAAAATTTCTCTCCAACTGAAAATATTTGGTGTGTCCCGCACGCTCATGCGGCCTAAAGCAGTGGCGAGCGTCGTAAATCACCCCTCCCCCCTTTTATATACCTACTACCTGACTGAGTTATAATTCTCACAACAAACAATTAATAATTTTCCACCGCTAAAGGCCACCGTCAACGTGAGAGAAGGTCAGAACGTTTGACTTTTAGCCCCAGCCAATAGAAATCGACGCGACACATTTCAATCACAAGAGGCCTTTTCAAGAGGTGAAGCTCGTGTAAAAGAAAAATACATAACACAACACACATGCACATGCACGCACACAAACACACACACACACACACACACACACACACACACATACACACACACACACACATA